CCCTGCGCAAGGCGGTCGACTCTCCCCTCGGCCCCACCCATCCTTGGGCGCCCGAACTATCCGGGGTAAGTCGGGTCTGGGGCAAGTCGGGTTCGGAATCCCGAAAAACCAACCCGAGTTAGCCCTGACCCGAGTTACCCCCGATGATTCGGGGCTCTGACGTCCTGTTCCTCAGGGGGCGCAAGGAGGGAACCGCTCCGTGCAGGCACAGGTCGAGAACTGCTCGGCCGCCCTTCTCTCTCCTGCTCCGCACCCGGCCGCCTGTCTTGGTGGGAGGATCTCTGGCTGGTATCCGCCGCCGTGCTTGCGAGTAGTGTGGGGTGCGTTGCTTCGTAGGTCTCCTGTCGCTTCGTCTAGAAAGCAAGAGGAGGACAAGGCTGAGTACAAGGAGAGAACGCCCCAGACCTTCAATAAATCAGACAGAGGGTCTTCAACTCAACGAACGCTGCGCTGCCGCCCTGAAACGTTGGCAGCGTCTGACGCAGGCGGCTGGATAATCCGCCGCCCTGCTCCATGGGACGCTGAGGCGTGGTAGAATGCCGAGGGCTGCCTGGTAGAGTCTCTGTCATCTTCTGAGGCACCCCCATCATCAAGCTTCGTCGCATGCACCGCCCCCCTCTCCCGAGGCCACGATCCCTGGCAAAAACGTTCGATCCGCGCTCCGGAGACAACGATCCCCGGTAAAAACTACCGCGCTCCCGAGCTTCCAAGACGGCCAAGGCAGGCAACCAAAGCCGCCAATATAGCTCACAATGCCGCCAAGACTGCCCTTGATGTCCCCAAAACGGCCCATGATGGCCTCAAGACAACCCGAAGGGTCCCCAAGACGGCCCAAGAGGACGACCAGAGGACCCCCAGCGCATGGAGCCTGAAGAGGACCACGTCATGGATTCCACCGATGTGCTTCAAAGTTGTGGGCGGCTTCACCGTTTCGGGCCCCCTTCAACTTCAGTTGGCCCCTGAGGTCCCAAGAGAAGCCAAGACGACCCATAAATGGCACTTGCATCCCCCCAGGCGGCCTCCAGACAGCCCGAGGGGGCCCCCAGACGGCCAAGGATGGCCTCAAGAAGACCTCAAGCTGGCCCAAGGGACCCCAAACCCCGTTAGAGGGCCCCTCAACGACCCCAAGACGGCCCCACGGTGAGCGCAAGAAACCCCATACGGCGAAGATGGCGCCAAGACGGCCCAAGAGGTCTCCAAGACGGCCCTGGAGGGCCCCAAGACGGCCCGAAGTGGCCCGAGGGACTCCCAAGACTGCCGCACGGGAGCGCAAGGAAAGAAAGACGGAAGGGAGGACGATAAAGACGAGAAGAGAATGCCCGACGCGATGCGGAATAGAGTGTCAAATGCTCCGGCTCCCCCAAGCCTGGGGATTCGAGGCGTCACAATTGACAGCCTCCCCTGCCACCTCGAACGGTCGCCGCCCAGAGTGGTAGACTGGCACGGCGCCGGGACTTGCCGCAGGCAGCTGCATACCCATGCACACATGCAAGCATACTCAACTAGGAAAGCATGCGAGATACTTGAACGGGGCGTGGTGCGCTGATCACCCGACAGTCTACAGAGCTCGGGGCTCCCTTGCAGGACAGTCCCAAGGACCGCCGCGATATGCCAATGCCCGCCGCTGCAATCGAAAGGGCGCCCGGGTGCCCGGGTGCCCGAGCCCTGCCAGCTCGTTCCCCCGCCCGCCTCCCCCGCCGGCACCGCGGAGCACTCCAGGGCCATTCGCTGCAGCCTGAGCGGCGTCGGCGTCCAGCTCAGCTCTGTGTGGGCAGCGGCGTCCCCTGCCCGCCGAGCAGCCACCAGGGCAGCACGGCCGGCGCTGCGACCGCGCCTGGCAGGCACAGCTGCAGGTGCCACCCGTCGCACGGCGTCACAGGGAGACCACGTCCTGCCCTGAGTGAGAGACGCCCCACTGACGATCTATCGCCTGCTCGAGCTCCCACCACTGTGCCGCGTGGTCGTGGCGTGGGGGCCCCGCGATGCTCTGGGAGGTCTCGTGCCGTGCAGGCTCCACGGAGATGACCTTGTCGCTCTGGCGGCTCTCGATGCGGCAGCCGTCCATGGCCTGCTGGAAGCTCTCCGCGACCTCAGGGTCGTAAAAGCCAATGAACGCGTACCCCTTGTTCTGGCGCTGCCTGCTCCTCAGCGGCATGTGTCGAGGAAGAAGACGGCATGAACAGACACTTTCGGAGGTCCGCGCGGATTCCCTGGATCGGCGCTGGACACCCTCGCCTGGCGCGCGGAGCGCGCCGAGGGCGGCGTTGGAGGCACTCCGCCAAGGGTGCCCCAGCGCCGATCCGAGCAATCCGCGCGGAGCTCCGACCGGTCCTGCCTGTGCCGTGTTCCTCCTCCTCGGCTGTGGAAGAAGTCGTGGCGCTGGTAGAAGCCCAGCGCGTGTATGCAGGCCAGGAGCTCGTCCGGCCTCGTCCGGATGGGCAGGTTGCGGAGCACCAGCGTGTGCAGCCGCTCGCCGCGCCCCTCGGCCCGGCCGGGCGGCCGCGGAGCAGGCTGCTGGGGCTCACGGCGGGCGAGCCCGGACGGGACGCGGAGAGGCTCGAACGGGTCCGGCGGCGGCCCAAGCTCGTACGCTCCACCGGGCTGTCCCGCAGCGGGCGCGGGGCCCGGCTGTGGTCGAGCTCCTGCACGCTGGCATTGAGCCGGGCACAGGCGCGTGAGGGGCAGCTCGACCTGGACATCCGACGACGCGGACGCCGCGGGGGGCCAGGGCTGCGCCGGGGGGCGCCAGAGAGGCGAGGCAGCGGCAGCGTCCGATAGACGCGCCCCGCCAGTGAGCCGCTGCGGGGGCCTCATCTGCACACGGGCGCTTATACTCGTCGGGCGAGCGGGAGGGAGGGGCACGAGCTCCGCGGCCAGGCGACGCGGGGCTCCGAGGAGCTGTTGCCGGCCGCCCTATACCGCTTGAGCCACAATGGCTCCGCAGCCTCCCTCGATTGTTCCCGCCAGCAGAAGCGCAGACCCTTTCGCTCCATTTGCTCGTCGGATCGGTAGGTCCCCCGCCCACAGCGGGACGTTTGAACACGGTACGTGTTGCGTTTCAGCACGGGCGTACCAGGGCAACTGACTGAAGTCCTGAAGATCATCGACCCCGGTGTCGGGAGCGGCCAAGAGGGGGTGTCCAAGACGGGGGGGTGCAAATCATGACCGGCGGCATGTGCGCGGCATGTGCGCGGCCCCGACGGTGGGGCCCGGCCCCTGGCCCCGCGCCTCGGGCGCAGGCGCCAGCGCGACGACCGAGAGGCAAACGACACACGAGAGACGAGAGCTGGCGTGAGCGGGAGCGAGTGCTGCAGCCGCGGGCGGGCAGCAGATCCTCCTCCTCCTCCTCCTCCTCCTCCTCCTCCTCCTCCTCCTCCTCCCTCCTCCCTCCTCCTCCTCCTCCTCCTCCTCCTCCTCCTCCTCCTCCTCCCTCCTCCTCCTCCTCCTCCTCCTCCTCCTCCTCCCTCCTCCTCCTCCTCTCCTCCTCCTCCTCCTCCTCCTCCTCCTCCTCCTCCTCCTCCTCCTCCTCCTCCTCCTCCTCCTCCTCGCCAAACCGCGGTGGCCGCGCGGCCCTGCCGGCCGGTCGTCGCCGTGCCGCGGCCAGCGTTGATTGGGGCTCGAGGCGCCAGGCTCTTGGGAGTCGTTCGACCTGCCTGGGCCTCGTGGGAGTTCCGGAGGGCGAGGAGGAGGAGGAGGAGGAGGAAGATGAGGAGGAGAAGGAGGAGGAAGAGGAGGAGGAGGAGGAGGAGGGCGAGGAGGAGGAGTAGGAGGAGGAGGAGGAGGAGGAGGAGGAGGAGGAGGAGGAGGAGGAGGAGGAGGAGGAGGAGGAGGAGGAGGAGGAGGAGGAGGAGGAGGAGGGAGGAGGGGGAGGGAGGAGGAGGCGGCCTCGTCGTCGTCCCCGTCGTGGTCGTCGATCGGGGTCCGAGGTTCTAAAGTTTGGTCGTGCTTGCTTTGGGAGCCTCCAGAAGCTTCCGCATGCTTTCGGGGAAGACACCTCCGAAGACCTCTGGAGGCCCCTTGTCGTCATCATCGCCGACGTCCCCGCACCTGGGCGTCGCCAACGGGCAGGCTGAGATATCAGGGCCAAACTTTGAAGCAGGAAGTGTGCCACGTAGTTCCTGGGTGGCCTGCGTTCACCTGATCACTGGGGGCACGACGTGGGTAACTGGGTCAGCTGAGTTCACCCAAGATAAATTGGAAAGCACACGGGCCAACTAACGTCGCTCTTTGCAGGGTGCGAGGTGCGAACTGCGGATGGCAGGCGCTGGCACTGGCCAGGCTTCTTGTCATCCCAGTCCTCCTCATCCTCCCTCTGGTCGTCGTCGTCCTCCTCCTCCTCCTCTTCCTTGTCCCCCTCCCCCCTCCTCGTCCCCCTCGCCCTCTCATGCTTCCCTCCCCGAAGAGGGGGATCTGGATGATGAGGAAAATGAAATGAATGAGAAAACGAGGAGGATGAGAAAAGGAACAAGCGGATACTGAGAAAGATTATGCGGGCGGAGAGGCAGTTTCATGTGCAAGAAAGGATGAAGTAAAAGAGGGGGGCGACAATGCTTAGTAATGGTACTTCTAGTCAGAACCACAATCCAACAACAAGAAAAAGGATGGGAAGAGGGGGCTAAGAAGTGGGGGAGAACGGAGAAGAGCAGGGAGGACGAAGGTAACTGGTGCCATTCAGCGATCAAGCTGGCGGTGCACCCGCCTCCTCGCCCTCGTTCCTATTCCCTCCCCTCCGCATCTGAAGGGGCCCCAGGACACACAAACAAATACACACCAATAAAATAATTCCCCATAGTTTCCCATATGTTCTGGGTTTCTGTCTTCCCTATTTTCCTATATTTTCTGGGGGATCGAGGATTAATTGTGTCTGTGTGCTTTTTCCCTCCTGAAGCAACGACGCCGATGACAGCAAGGGCGACGACGACGTCGGCGGCGGCCACGGCAACGAAGACCACGACGACGACGACGACGACAACCACAGCGGCGGCGAGAGCCGGCGAGGCCTCGTCAGCAAGCGGGCCAGCCCGCCCACATTCTGGGACGCCGAGGCCCAGCTTCCGCCCGACTCCATCGTGCTTATGTCCTCGCCGCCGGTCGTCGCCGTCGTCGTCGTCGCTGCAGTCGTCGCCGGGAGGAGGGAGGGAGGGAGGGAGGGAGGGGAGGAGAAGGCCGAGGAAGAGGGGAGAGGGGGAAAAGAGGAAGCGGAGGACAAGGTACCCCCCTTCCTCCACTGCCTCCTCCTCCTTCTCCTCCTCCCTCCTCCTCCCTCCCTCCTCCTCCTCCTCCTCATCCTCCTCCCGTCAACCTCTTCCCTCCTGCTCCTCTGCCTCTTCTATTTCCTTCTCCTCTTGCCGCCTACCTTCCTCCGTTGCCACCAGCTTGCTGATCCTCCTTTCGATCCGCCGCCCCCTCCTCTTTTCTTCACCCTCCTTGTCGAAAACCATCTGCCACGGAGGCGGATGACCCGGAACATGAGAAAGGGAATGAGGAGTGGGAGGACGGAATCGGAGGAAGAAAAAGAAAAAGGCGGAGGCCAGAAAACGGAAAGAAAGATGAGGGGAGGAAAAGTTAGTACGGAAATGAGAATAAGAGAAAAAGATAATAAAGGGGTAGAAGGCGAAGGAAAAACGGGAGGATCAAAAGGAAGGTGAGGAGGAGGGGGAGGGAGAAAAGGATGAGGAGGACCAGTGTAAACCTAAGACTCATCATCGATGCCGCAGTAAACCTTCCCTCCAAGTTCCCTCTTCCTTCCCCGAGCCATGTTTGCAGCTCTTACTTCTGTTCCAAGGAACTGGACCTGCCTGCCGCTCTGGCGGCTATGCTGCGGCCGTCGCCAACCCGTGGCCGCCTCGTCGCCACCCGTCGTCTGGGCTTGACTGCCGCCGTGGCTGCTATGTTGTCGCCGTCACCGCCCCGCCGCCGACTCGTCGCCGCCCTAGACTGCACAACATCACTTGCAGCCTGCAGAACGTACCACACTATTGCACCGCTTTCATTGCACCGCATCGATTGCCCCACATGGCTTGCACAACATCGACTCTCCGTGATAACAAGAAAAGCATTCGGATCTACCGCCCCCCAAGGCTGGAATTACCGATCCTCCTTGGGGATGTTCAATTCACATATGATTACGCCCCATGGTTCATTGCAAATATGGATTCGTACCACCCCAGCCAAGCCACTATCGACACCCCGCTCATCCTGGTCAAAAAACTCTATGCGCGCACACTCGTTCATCAAAATATCATCCGAACGATCCCTTGCAACAAACTGGACGACATGCGAACGCGCGAGTCGTCGCGCGCTCATTCTGGAATCCACCAACACATCGACACCATCATCGACATCAGCGTGATCAGCATCGGCGCCGTCATTGGCCTTGCCGTCGTTATCGTCATTGTCGTCACCAGCATCGCTAATCCGCCACCGTACCGCTGGGCACGGAGTGGGCGTGTCCTCAGGTCCTTTGCCCAATCCCCTGAGAGTCCCCTCGAGTCGCCGGACGATCGCCCCAAGACGCTCAAGATTGCCCCCAGACGGCCCAAGAGGCTTCCAAGACTCCCAAAGAGGCCTACAACAGGCCTCCCAAGAGGACCGCAAGTGGTCAAACTCAGATTGTCCGTGGATTTTTCAAAAGATTTGAGCGTTCTCGCCTTGTCGGCTTGCCGACGCTCCCAGACGGCCCTAGAGGCCCCCAACACCGCCCCAAGACGGCCCAAAAGGCCACGAAGAGGGCCCCGAAACGCACCAAAAGGACCCCAAGACAGCCCAGGAGGCGCCCAAAACGGCCCAAGATGGCCCCAAGACTGCCCCAAAAGGAGCCCGAAAGAGGGAACACGACCCGAAAATCTTCGCCCCAAGGGGCCCCCAGGAGGCCCCAAGACGCACCAAGGATGCCCCAAGAGGCCCCCGAGAGGCCTCAAGAGGCCCCAAGAGGCCCAAAGAGGCCCCCAAAAGGCCCCCAGCCGGCCTCGGAGAGGCGTCCGAATGGCCTCCAAAAATGCACCCAGAGGAGCCTCCCACGAGATCCCAGCGAACATCCAACAGGCTCCATCCCCACAGCCCAGGCGCGGTGGCCGGATGGGCCGAAGGCCATTCGATACAGTCGGGGCGTTGACCTAAGGAACGATAAATGAGGAACGAGGCCCCTTTTTTCCACAAGTTAAGCTTCGATTTCCCTTCGAAAACCTAAGGGAAACCTGAGGCAAGCTGTGAAACACTTAAGGAACGCGGAGCCCCTCCCCAACAAAAAGGGTTTCTTCTTCAGGGCCTCGACTGTATGCCGCCCCCTGTCGATTCATCGCAGGGGTGCCTGGCGTGCTGAATTATTTCGGTTTTGGTTTGGTTCTTTTTCCAAAAAGAACGGACGTCCCGAGATCTTTTCAAGGCGGGGACTCAGATGAATGAACGGCTGCGCGTCCTGGCGCTCAGCTGTGAGGCGCCGTCAACCACAGAGAGAAAAATGAGACAGAGCATGTGTGCGCACGCATGCTCGAGAGGGTTCGGGGGGGCGGGGGACCAGAGAAGCTATGCGATGCAAGAGAGAGCGGAGCCAAAGGGGCGACATAATGAAAACCCCTCTTGACTTCCTTCACGTGCAAGCACAAACCAGGACGTCCCGAGATCTTTTCAAGGCGGGGACTCAGATGAACGAACGGCTGCGCGTCCTGGCGCTCAGCTGTGAGGCACCGTCAACCCAAGCCGTTCCCAAGAATGTTTACTGGGTGGGTGGGCAAGGGCGATTATATAAAGACGCGCGCCATTCACTCAAAAGGACTTTGGCAAGCTTCCTATTGAGGGCTGGCGGATAGGCGGCAGCGATAGCGGTCCATTTCGCACCATTCGGGGCGTTGCCCTCAAGCACGATGTGTTGACGGCCAGACTTGTTACAAACTCCGTTGATCTGACAACACCGACGATCGAGACAGCTGCTATCCTGGGCATCTATGTTCAGACACAAAAATCTTGTTCGTTTGCGCCAGCGAGCACCCTCCTGACACTGGTCGAGACATCTTACTACGGCCCCCCGATCTATAACCCCCAGAACCTCTCTCGTGACAAAAACGCGTGAATTCACAGGATGCTCGAGTATGCAGGGGGACTTTGAAATTTTCGCAACATCTGATGACGGACAGCGCGGCACGCATGGTCTTATTGCCAGATGCCAGGCGAGCAAGCTGTTTTGCACTCAGAAGATGTCGCGGGAGTCCCCAGGGCTGCGATGCCGAGCGGATGGCCCCCACTCGGTCGGCAGCGGTGGTCCAGGGCCCACAAGGCGGTGCCAGCATCACGGCCAACACGCGGCCTGCAGCGATGTCGGAGCACAAGCCTCGCAGGACCTTTCGTCGTGTAAGGTCGCCGCCTGGCCCGCGCAGCGTGTCCCAGAACCTGGCTGGTACGCCCATTGCCATTGCGGCGCGCCCCGCGCCTCCTTTGCCACTGAAGCAGTCGGCCAAATATTGGCCAGTCAGGCGTGGTCGAGCTCCCGCAAGTCGACCGGCGAGGCGCGATCCAAAATGATGTCCGCGAGCTGAGCCCCGCAGACCAGGAACACATTTTGCTGCGCGCAGCTCAGAGTCGCCCACGTGGCTGCCAGGCGTGCGTGCTTCTCGTAGCGGACGACGCTGCGGTTGGCCTTCCACTGCCCGCGTTTCTGCACGTCGGCCAGCCGCCTCCACCTCCTCGCCACGTTTACCGAGGCCCCTGCATGGCGCATCTGATACGGCACCAACTTGGCTTTTACTGGCAGGTCCTGGAGGCGTAGGCTGAACATCTTGCAGTACTCTGGGCACGTGAAGTTCCACAGGTATTCGGGGTGTTTCTCCCTTTTCATTTGACGCAGCACAGGGTCCAAGAAGCGAATCCAGGGCGAGTCTGACTCTAGCGACACGTCCACCAGGCCCGTCTTTTCCCGCAGGTCCCCCTCCTCCGGGGGGAGCCTCAGGGTCCAGAATCTCCAGCCCTGGGGGAGGCGCCGGGCACCGTAGCTCGACATGTCGGGGTTGAAGTGCAGGACGCCAGCCATCAACTTCTCGGCCCAGGAGAGGTGAGTCCCAGCCTGGTGCAGCCCGGTCAGGTAGCTCACCAACGCCGAGGCTACCATGGAGTCGCCCCTGCTCTTTATGACTTCGCCAATGTTCACCGGGGGCCAGCTCCGACGGGCAAAGTCCCGCCATCCGTCCCAGGCCCTCTGGTACTCGCGCAGCGACGGGGTCCGCACGGCCCCCCGCTCCAGGAGAGAGAAGCCCTCCTCGCCGGTGGTCATCCCGTAGTGGCGGGCAGCAAGGCGCTCTTGCGACTGCGCGAGCCTGCGCTGCCGCGCGGCGCCGGTCACGACCTCGGGCTCGGAGCTCCCGCTGTCGGAGGAGCCGACGCTCTCTCGCGCTCCCTGAGCGGGCTCCGCTGGCACAGGCACCTTCCCCAGGGCCCCCAGGTCCTCCACCACCTGCCCCAGGCTCCGCGGCAGGGGACGGCTCAGCACCGCTGTCTTCAGGAGCTCCGACTCGCACAACTGATGCTCCCGCCGAGCTGCCGGCAGCGGCTGCGGCGCTACTGGCGGCGCAGGGGCAAGCTGCCGCGTGCGTCTCGCCTCCTGGCCGCGGGCTGACGGCCTCAGGCCAGGCCCCAGGCGAGACGGCACCAGCTGCCGCGTGCGCCGGCGCCCCGTCCCTGGCCTCGCGCCTCGGCTGGCCTGCCGGGGGCCCCGACAGCGGCCCCGCCCGTCTGGCGCCCGCGGGCGCACAGGCAGCATCGCGGGCCGCGGCGCCACCGCCCGCCCGCTCAGGTGCGGACCAGGCGGGAACCCGCCCTGGGCCCGCCTGGGAGCCCTCGAGCTCCAACAGCTCAGCCAGAAGGGTGGACTTTGCGCCGTCAGGATCAAATAGCCGTGAGGGAAGGTCGGCACAGTTGAGCTCACTGGGTATCCAACGAATCGAACAACGAATATTTCGGCTCAGACAGACAGCGTGAAATCGACGAATCTGGACCAACAAGTTGAAACACGAGCTCCTTCCTCGATTGAAGCTTAGCACGACCGACATGTTGTCACAGAGCAGCAACTGACGTATGTGGGACCCAAAGACC